CAACAACTGCTACATCTTTAGAACGTGGAAATTCCTCGTCCTTATCTTTCTGTATCAAGTGAGAGTCTCATTAGGAAAGATGTCCAACGTTTTAACAGATGTGTCAGGAGATGCGATCGCCGCAGTTGCCTTTATTAGAGCGAAAGATTAAGATGGCAGTTTGCATCAAGGTTTTGTACTTGGGAAAGGAAAAGTGGCACCTAAAAAAGCACTTACCACGCCTCGTCTGGAGTTATGTGCTGCTATACTTGGCACTGAAATCTCTTAAATCATCAAAGACCAGTTGGACATCGAACCGAAAGAAATTCATTTCCATACAGATAGTAAAGTTGTCCTTGGCTATATCTACAATACAACAAGAAGATTTTACACTTACGTTAGCAACGCAACAGAGTTGAGCAAAGTCTCATCAACAGAGCAATGGAGATATGTGCCTTCAGAATATAAGCCTGCAGATCAGGCAACTAAACTCATCTTGGATGAAAATATGAAACATGGTCCCTGGTTCTTTGGTCCAAAACGATGGTTTCTTAGCAGTTAAGACCAAGACACATCTGGAATACAGATAAACTAGTTCCATTGGAATATGATCTCATAGATTTCGAGATTGATAATGAGATTAGACCAGCCGTGACAGTTAAAAAGCTACACATTGGAGATTCTCTCATGGGAACCAAGAGACTAGTAAACTACTCAACATGGAATAGTTTGGTTTCAGGGATGGAAAAAAAATATGGAAAGATGTTGCAGTGGAACAGCACCATGCAAAGGTTGGCATATCTGCAACAAGGCAAATAATGTTGACCTTTATCTTGAAACAGAGAAACACATCATCAGAGAGGTCCAAAGAGAATTGTTTCGAGAAGAAATCAAATGTATTAGAGAAGGTCCAGAACTTAATAACAACAATTCACTTGTAAAATTGAACTCCTTCATAGACTGTAATAGTATCTTGCGTGTAGGGGGCCGATTAACAAAATCAGAGTTGATTGATTGATTGATTGTATGTTGTTTTACGTCCCATTCGAGAATTTTTCACTCATATAGAGACCTCTCCATATACCGGTGAAGGGCTTCAAATTTTGACCTTTACTCGGCACTCAGGGCCATTGAGCAGTGAGGGATCTTATCGTGCCAACGTCTGCCGTGACACGGGGCCTCGGTTTTTAAGGTCTCATCCGAAGGACCCGCAACTTTCACTTCAAAGTGACGAGCGCATTGCGAAGGAAAAGTTGCTACCCGCGGCCGAGATTCGAACTCACGACCTCCCGATCACGAAGCGAGCGCTCTACTGACTGAGCTACCGTGAACGGTAAATCAGAGTTGAACATCAACGAGAGAAACCCTACCATTATTCCTAGCAAGCAACACATAGCTCTGCTTTTGGTGCGCCATTATCACCAGGTCACTAAACATCAAGGACGCCATTTCACAGAGGGCGCTATCAGATCCGCAGGCTATTGAATAACAGAAGCAAAACGAATAGTATATTCAGTTATATTCAACTGTGTGACATGCAGAAAGATGATAAGAAAACCCGAACATCAGATCATGTCAGACTTACCTCATGATCGAATGCCACCTGGACCACTATTCTCAAGTTAAGGGGTAGATACCTTTGGACCTTGGGGAGAAGATTCATTGCAGTAAGAGGCCATGTTAAAAAGTTCAGATCGGAACGTAGCACAAATTTCTTGGGGTAACAGAAAGTCTAGGAATCGATGTGATGAACGTGGAAGATAGACCTGTCAAAAAGTTTCTTTTGGACAACAGAACCGCATGGATCTTCATCCCACCATACTCATCCCGCATGGGAAAGGATGATAGGCCTTACGAGACGGATCCTATACTTCTGTTGATAGATTTGTACTGCAAAGAAGTTGACACATGAAAGCCTTGTTATATTCATGGCAGAGACAAGCGCTATAATAAACTCAAGACTGCTCGTGCCAATTTCAACGGACCCAGACTATCCATTCATACTAACTCCATACACTCTTTTGACCCAGAAGACGGACAAAAGTGGAAAACTACTTGAACCCTTTGAGGAGAAGGATGCATTCAAGGCACAGTGGAAGAGAGTTCAACTACTTGCAGACCTATTCGGGAAACGATGGCGTAAAGAATTCTTAGTAACGCTGCATAGTTGACAGAAGTGGACACATAACCAGAGAAATTTATCCGTCTGTGATGTTGTATTACTGAAAGATAACTCAGTGCATCGTTGCGACTGGAAGATGTCAGTGGTGGAACAAATGTACCGAAGTGAATCTGACAAGAAAATCCGAAAAGGAGGACTTCGTGTGAATAGAGACGGTAATAATGTGTTTAATACGCGTCCAGTTACAGAGGCTGTGCTTCTGATTGCAGTGTAATTTCATGTAACAATGTACCAGATTCTTCGAAACTGTTATTTGTTAAATTGAAGAATTTTATGTAACTAGGTTTTCATAGTGATATCCTCAGATATTAGATGGGGAGTGTAATGTTTATGAACATTCTATTTATATGTATATTACGTTGCCTAAATTATTTATTTCATAGTTAGAGTTATTTTTTTTTTAATCAAATAGTTTTCTTTTATAGTATCTAGAGTTATATCTTGTTTGAACTTTTAGAGTTAATTTTCTTAAGATAAACATCACTTCCTATTGACTCCTGTTTTATTCCTTTGTGTGACCCACACAAGGACACTTTTGTCATATGTCTATATTTCTGATGTATGCTACCACACACTTTAAGTAAACTTGTGCTGTAAATATTTATTACGCGGATATTTATCATAGTTAAACTCTTTTTGTGTAGAATGTTTGTAATTTGAATGTTAGGTATATCTATTGTTATCTCTTAAAAGTATGGAACACTGTAATTGTCATAATCATTAAGCATAAAACTGGAGTACGTAATAACATTTTTCAATGGAAACCCACTTATGTCAAAACTTTATATTTTGGATTTATGGTGAATCTTTATTTCTATTTACCTTTTGAATATGTTTATTTACTACTTATTACACAGTTTATGCTATGTCTATAGTTATATATTGATACTATTTATCATGTAACTGTTGGGTTATTCTATTTTTTTTTTGTTTTGTTTCAGTTCTTAACCGTTAACACAATAAATCGATGCACTGATTTTTGTGTGTGGTTATACAATCTGTGATATGCAGGCAGAATAATACTATGTGCTTTATGGATAAGGGTGTGATGAGAAGTTAACTCCAGTAGTAGCCATTTTGCAGAGGGTTTTGAAGGATTTGTAACTCCAGCCATAGAATTTGCTGTTGAGTGACATATATCAAAGCAGTTTACTCTATAATGTTATTTTTTTTTCATGGTTAAGGATACATGTAAGTAGTCACTGGAAAAATTCATTGTGTTTTTAAACATTTTTTTTTAATCAATGGTCTTTCTGTTTGTTTTTTTGTACCATCTTCTATTGGATCTTTCATCATAAATTCCTCGTGTTTTCTCAAAGTTATCTGTGAAGTTTGTTACCAGCCATCATTATTTATGCTACTGGATATCGGATTTTTATGGAGTTTCTAACAGTTATAAGAGTAAAAAAAACTCGGTATTCTCAACAAAAAAAAGTTAAGGCTTATATATCATACAGTTAAATTCAAAAATTCGCAATTTTGAAACTTATTTTAAAATGATGTGTATGATTAACCATAACAACAAATGTTTGTTACACTTCACTGACTTATCAGTCCTCGTGTTCGAAGCCAAATGGAAAATTCTTAACCCTAGTCAGCATTGCATACTAAAACTGGTAAGCATGTCTTTATGTACTGCTGTCAATACTTCATACTGACAATAAATAAGGACAATTAAACATCTTTTATACACAAATGATTTACAGGTGATGTATCAAAGACGACGTCTAAATGTACAGGAAGCTGGTAGGGCCATAGGGATGCTACAAACTGGAATGCAGTTGCTATATTGATGAGCAGGTCACAAAACATCATTGGTCGTTTGTGGCAGAGATTTCAGGAAACAGAATCAGTCCAGGAAAGGCCTCGGATTGGAAGACTACGATGTACGACCACCCGGCAGGACCGCCAACTTGTACTGCAAGCAAAGCGAAACTGATTCAACTCGGCTGTTGCCTTAAACAGGGACTTTTGCAACACACATGGAGTAAACATTTCTAATCAAACTTGCAGGAATAGGCTTCGTGAAGCTAACTTGAAAGCAAGATGGCCTGCCACACGCTCAATTTTGACTGCAGACAACAGAGTAAAGAGACTGGAGTTTGCACGAGAACATGCAAATTGTCAAATGCGTCACTTGAGATCTGTACTCTTTTCATCCAAATTCTGTGTGGATTTTAATAATGGAAGGCGTCGAGTGTGTAGACCGAAGAATCCTTCTGCTCCATCCAATATCAATGAACTTGAAGTTGCTCTTTAAGAGGAATGGGATTGCATTCCCCAAAGGACCATCAGTTCACTCATTCGAAGTTTCCCCAGGCAATGTAGGGTTGTTATTCGAGGCCACACAAAGTTTTAACATTTGTTGGATCAATTGCTGTTTTTGAATTAAACAAATTATGCAATTACTGGATATGGAAATTCACTCTGATAAGGAGGATGTCCATAATTGTTGGTCTTGTTTTTTTTTTTGTCCAAGTGAACATTTACCATTATTTTTTTTTATCAGATGTGTTGTTACTTTACAGAAGAAACTTTACGATTTATTTTGATTAAATATACTTTTTCAATATAGAAATTATGAATGAAGATTTTCATAACCCTGAACATTTTTTGTTGAGTATACTAAATTGTTTTCTTTTTTGTGTTGAGTATGCATACAGTTTTGAATATGGCTAAAGATAGGTTTGTCTAAAAAGAACACAATTCTTTCAACTTCTACAATTGAATTCTTGGATTTGAACTTGGCCAGGGAGTTCATGCAATTTCAGCTATTTCAGGTCTAAATTCGCAGCCTTTCACTGCAATGGTAGTTTTCCAACATGAGTGAAAAATTTTAATGTTCCTAATCAAAGATAAATAAAAAATGTATACATACTGAATGGATTCAAATAGAAAAATATCATAATACGTACAAAACCAAATACATGTACAATGTAATTAATGCATAAATAATAGTATAAGTATGTCTCAGACAGGGATAACTAATGAAAAATTTAAAATTCACGTTATGCTTTATATGGTGGGGGATCTGTCATGTTTGACGCATTTTCTTCCTGCGTTGGATAAGGAGGGGGCATCACTCTATTTTGATCAACCACTGATTCATATGATGGTGGAAGAGGAGCAGTATCAAATTTCTGATCTGGCAGTTCAATTCCATATTGAAAAGCAGTGTTATATTGTCCATAGTATGAAGAAAGTTGTGCAGGGGAATAAACTCCGGCAGCAGAATTTGCTGTATCGGGATGTGCTGGGTAGTGAATTCCGACATTTCTATTTGCTGTAAAATTAAACGACATAATAATTATTAGGATTTCATTACTTGGATGCGCTGTTTCAGTTTTAATACATCTCTTCTAAGGGGTTGACAGGATTGTAATTTTCTCAATCCTGAATATGTTAATCTCAAGTTCCATATGTTAAAGAATCATCTGTGTACCTCGACATAGGAGAAAGATTTTTAACGTTTCAATATATCTTGTTAACACCTGTTTACCATTAAAAAAATGTACAGTTGTCAAACTTTAGCCGGAAAGAATTGCGGTTGTCATCAGATTGCACGTATTTATAGACTATTATAGGCATACATAGTATGCATTAATTCGGAAGGAATGATGTTTCAGTATAAGAACCTACATGTTACTATCCTCTGTTGGTTTCCTGAATGCAAGTACATCACACTACGAGTGTTAGTATTTGCTTTACTTCCTTTACAGCAGCAGCATATGATGGTAAAAAGTATAATGATAGAAAACCCAATGCTTGTCATGATTCCACCAATTAATCCGCCACTGGAACTAAAAATAACAATTAACTGTATGACGAAACATTAGTTTTTGTTAAGGAGGGATTCTTCTCATATTTCTAGTATTCAAAAATCAATGAAATTTCACAGAATCAAGAGCACAATATCATTAAGTGATGGTATCAGTTAGATTAAATCTGACCTTTTTATATTAGAGGCAAGGTCAGGTCAAGGTCATTAACTTTTCTCTGGACATTAAGAATAAAAAATTACTGTTGCCAATCATGCGATGACTACTTCTAGTTCAAAAGATTAAATGTTTTTCTTTTTGCATAAAGAGATATTACCATATAGGGTCTATAAGATGATAGTACCAAATTGACATAAATAATTTAACTAAAATGGATATTGGCTAATCCGATTTTTCTAGATTTTTCTTACATTTTTAGGATATTTAGTTATTTTTATATGCTTCCTATATTTAAATTTTTCTTATTTTCACATATGGTGAAGATGTCACATAAAGATACAAAATGATATAAAATAGGAAGTTTTGATCGTTTATAATTACTAAGAGAGAAAAAAAACCCCACTTTTTACGGATTTTTGGCTAAAATCTGTACTTAGATTGGAAGCTTTTAAAAGCTAACATAATTGTAGTTTTTTTTGGAAAATCATATTTATTTGATATATTTAAGACTTTAGTCCCTTATTATTAATTTAATTTACAATTAAAAATTAATTTCTTCAGTCTTTGATTGTGTAACTAAATTCATTGTTCTATAATAATTTTGAGAGGCAGAAAAAGATATTTTCATACGCCGCCATTCCGCCAAAAATATAGTTCCTGCTAGATTTCAAACTCAGTTTACCATTTCTATTTAAAATTGTACAATTGTGATGATGAAAAAATATGATCTTTTAAATCTCTTACATCTAAATATATAAAACATATAAGCAAATATACTTTGAATATTTCATCTAGTCAGAAACCAGACAAGAATCCCTCCTTAAGCCATTATTGCCATAAATCTAAACATCCTTACTGATTTGTATTACATTACGGTAAAAAAAAGTACGTGGCATTTTCAATATCAGTATTTATATACTGATATTGAAAATGTCACGTACTGTCCTTTCTGACATATTTCATTTTGTCAAATAAAATCTGCAACATGACTAAAATAGTCATGTTGCAGATTTTATTTGACAAAATGAAATATGTCAGAAAGGACAGTACTCTCCAATATCCATTAAAAAGTTCTTGTGTATTTAAAAGAGAAAAAAGTATGATTTGCGGTACAGGTCATGTTTTTTAATTTATATTTTATTCCGGTTAGCTCAAAGCATTATAATCATTATTTAGATAAGTTTAATATATAAAAGATATCACTTACCTATAGTTATTGTAAGAATACATATATGGACTATAATATCTGTAATTCCCATCACAATCTGTTAAAACAAATCTAAAGTGTTCATTTACGATTCATAATAATATTATAAGATATAATTTTTGGGGGCGTCTATATCTAAAACAACAACTGTATTTTATCGTATGTTTTTCCTCAATATATATTATAGATCTAAACACAATTTTTTATGCTCAAACATACTGCTAGTTCATTTTACGTATTGACTATATCATAAAAAATCATGTCAGTTTTATAAAAGGATGATACAAGAGATAACTATATTGATATTATTAATTTTTTTATGCAAAGGGGATAACCCAATTCTGGTGAATATGATTTCGATGAAGATGAACTTAGAAGAGAAGTATCTTTCTGGGAAACAATTTTTAAATGTGTCCAAATTTTAGCAATATAAAACTTCAGAAACGAAATGAAACTGACGGCCATTTGGAAGACATTATAAAATGACAAATCGAAAACTGTCAGTGATGTCAATGTTTTAAAAATGCCTGTCTTAATGATCAAGCTTTATTGATGAAATTGTACGCTTATATTCTTGACATTTTTGCTAAATTTCCTTCTATATAATATTTATAATTACATCATAACCTTTTTTTGGAAACCTCAAAATCGGGACATATTTGTTGAAACACTATGTATAATATAATATGACATAAAATAATATGATTTTTTTAAATATGATAATAATATTAATAGTAATAATGATAAATAAGGAAGAGAGAGAGCGAGGAAAGAAATATTATGAATCAGTTAAGAGTTCGTTTGGCATACATTTTAGACAATTAGACGTGAACAATAGAGGCATAAACAAATGCAGGGTTCACGATCCCTTATTGTTTTGATATTCTACTCCTTATGGGATAGAAGTTATAATCAGCGCAACTCGTAGGTAGTAAGTATGATTTTTACAGTTTTTATCACGCTAAATAAATACAGTTAAAATATACACCCCTTTTGTTAATTCAATTTTCATAAAAATTAATCGAAATACAGAAAAGACAAAAAAATCAAACAAATCAATTAGGTTCAATAACCTTAGGCTGTTAGGTTGCAGCGGACGCACATATATAGAAAGCCTGTAATTCTCCTATCCTACAATATAATTTGTGTTATTATATAGGTCACATGGTTTAATAATGAGGACAAATTATTTAAAATATCTACACATGATTCTAGCAGACAGTGATTGTAAAAGTGTGTGTGCTGTGTAATTTTCCTTCCTGATTTCTTTAGATCATGTGTATTTTTTACTAATATTTGTCAAATGGATCCCCCCTTTTTATTACTGTTTCTATTTTTCCAAAGTTTCAATTACAGGAATTAACTTCTTTTGGAATCTTCAAGTCTCTTTCTATAAATAGTAAACATCTGAGGGTGTGTGTGCTTCCTTATATTTATAGAAATGTGTCTTTTTCATTATGAATTATGAAATTAAAATTTAAAAAATATAATTTCAGAAAAGGTTAAATGAAAGTAGGAGCTTCCGCTGAGGAATAAACAGCAGCTGGTACCCTTACTGTCAGAAGAAGACCTAAATAAATGATACTTGGTTCGTAATTCATTTCAGAATAATATATGGTTATCGGATATGACAAGATACCTTCTAGGAACATTAGTAATATCCAAAAAATAACTAAATATATTGATTTGTCCACAGCCATTTCTTGTGTTCAATCAAGGAAGCAATTTCACAAACGTAGTTTCTCGATTAAATACTTGAACCATAAAGTTTGTCAACAAGTTACATTGTGTGTGAAAATGTGTTACGAAATATTAACCCATAACAAATAGGTGCGTCTGTTCTTGACGGCCCAGAAACATTCAAAAGATGGGAAAAGGAAGGGATTTTTTCCTCAATATTATAAAAATCGGCTAAACCTTTTACAACTTTTCAAAAAAGTAAACTCAAGTTAATTAAATTTGCTTTCTCTCTACAAAAAATCTCACCAGAAATTCCAGTATAACTATGCATATTATTTAATTGTAAAGAGTGCTGAACGGTACACTGTAAATGTTTTTTCGTTCATAAAATGAATCGATAAGCTTTTGGTATTGGGCGATTATTTTTTTTTAATTAAAACACTGTTTACTAAAAATCATATAAAATGTTTATTGTAGAATAATTAGTACATTGTAGAATAATTAGTACATTTGATGTTTGAGGAATCTAGATACCATTAATACCATAAAACACTGTTTACTAAAAATCATATAAAATGTTTATTGTAGAATAATTAGTACATTGTAGAATAATTAGTACATTTGATGTTTGAGGAATCTAGATACCATTACTTTTTTCAATTAATGAACAGTACAACAATCATGCAATAAAAAGTCAATATACTTTTTGCCTTATAAGGAAACCCTCCTGAACGAGCTCTTAGTGTTTGAATTAAAGATCCATTGATGAATAGGGTATGTTTTCATTAAAAATCTTTCTTTCTTTCTTTCTTTAAATCTTTTTAAATTTTTTTTACAAAAGTGACGTATATTTTTTTGTTTGTTTGTTTATTGTTTAACGTCCCTCTCGAGAATTTTTCACTCATATGGAGATGCCACCACTTGCCGATGGAGAGCTACAAATTTTGACCTATACTCGGCACTTAGGGCCATTGAGCAGTGAGGGATCTTTTTCGTGCCAGCACCTACTGCGACACGGGACCTCGGTTTATACGGTCTCATCCGAAGGACCGGTCTCCACGTCCCACAATGGGATTCGAACCCGCGATGTAAGGATCAACTCCTTACTCCGCGACTCTAGAGCAACCGCTTTAGATCCTAACCACTGTGCCACGCGGGCGACAAAGTGACGTATACATTTAACAAATAATATTTTCGGGGGAATTGAATTTCAAATTTAAAATATTTACATAAGTAAAGTCAGTTCAATATTTTAAATTAAACATTGAGATCTGTGAAAATTTGTTATAAAAATGTAAATTTCGTTATCTTAACCCCTGGGGGACACAAAATCAGTTCGCTATTTCCGTTAATTCGCTATATCCGAGTTCGTAATAAACAAATTTTACTGTATTTGTACACTAATTCAAAATAAACCAAAGAAAGAAATAATAAATTTTATTCGTATTCAAATAATACTGAATTGATTTACTTGACTCTGGTAAATAAATGAACATTAAAACACACAATTTGTCGCTTAGATTGAATGTATAAAGAAAAAAATGGTAACTAATTCATTGTTGTTTATTCATTAAAAAGTACTTTGATAAACTTTGATAAAGTATAACAATTATTTGGGTATTAAAAAATAAATTCAAATGAAAATACCTGTTACATATGATTTGCATAGACATATACATAGGAAAGACAGAGCATATACATGTATTTCACAATCACAAATGTATACATGGTACAATTTATGTTTTACACATTATATTCATATAAAATTATAGTTTCATGTTTCAGGATTTCAAAGTACTATATCACACGTCCTTCCTTTTATGGGGGAGGTACTTTTATGTTCGATACTGAAACGGTTCCTTGTGTGTGGTAGGGAGACAAAGTAGTTACATTATTTTGTCCATTTGAAGCGTTGTATGGTGGTGGAGCTTTGTCATACTTCCGGTCTGGGTCCTCTGTTCCATACTGAAATGCAGTATTATACTGTGTGCCGTATGGATAAGGTTGTGAAGGGGAGTTAACTCCAGGAGTAGCCGTTCTTGTGGAGGGATTTGATGGGTAGGTAACTCCAGCCTTACAATTTGCTGTAAAATTGAATAGGGTTTATCAATAAAACAGTTTAATCTATAATGCTGAAAACTTGCATGGTTTAATATGAGTGGTCAGTGAATAAATTTAGCGTCTTTTTATATATTCTATGCATCTCTTCATTTTGAAGACGCTGTTTTTTTTTTTGTTGTTGTTGTTTTCCCCAAATCAGTATTGGAACTCGAACTTTGCCCGTAGTATAATTGTTGGCACCTCTTTGCTTTTGTTGCTTAATGTAGTATACTGGGAGACCCCTTTGATGTTTTATGTTTGTTGTAATTGCAAAGTATGTGCTGAATTTGGTCAATTTTACCTTTAATGTGTATTATACATTATATATATGTATGTTGCTTTGATTGGCCTTCAATTATTTTTATTACATTTTGATTTAATTTTCATTTTTAATAAATGACATTTAGGAACCACATCAAAATTGTTCTGTTGTTTCTATTTTTTTTTTTCATTCATTTATTTTCATTTATTTATATATTTATTTATTTATTTTGGCAAAAATTCAGGTTTACTGGAAGAAATTGCTGGGATTGAAGAAGTTTTACTTAAATATAGATTTATGGTATCAAATTGTTTTAAGTTAAGTGCGATGTGTTAAATCCAGTATTTAATATACATTGATTTTTTTAAATTCAATTTTATTATCACATTTTGACCTCCTTTTGTTTATGCAAGATGTTTCGTAATGCATCCCATCAGGGGTTTCTTTGTGTAGATTTTCATCCAATCGCAATACAAATTTTTTTGTTTTTGTGAGTGGTTTCTAAATGCACCCTGTCGGGTACCTCTTTATCTTTTTTTCATCCAATAGCTGATCAGCACCTTTATTATCATTTTTGTTTTTGTCGAGTGTAGCAGCTATTATCCATAAGCTACCCTCCCTCACCCAGCTGTTTACCGGTAGTTATCACCTTTGTAATTGACCAATACATATCATATATGTATAGACAGATTTTTGGCCACCTTTTTTGCTTTTGTTTTATCATCTAGTACTGGGTAGGCCCCTTAGGTGTTTGATGTTTGTTGTAATTATGTGATATGTACATGTACTCAATTGGATAATTTCACATATAATGTGTATTACACAATATGTTGGTTTGATTGACATCCCAGTATTTTTATGACCTCAGTGATTATTTACTAATCTTGAAGTTAACGTTTTTAATTTTAGATTAACATCAGGTCTGTTCGCATATTCTAATTTGATACTCCAGCTAAGATGCTGGTACTTGGATTACCATTTTTCAACCATCATATTATTTAAATTACTTATACACACTTACATGTGTTGATCTTTTGCTGGTTTGGGTTATAATGCAAAACAACACCTTTGTTCGCTTCTTTTTTCTTACTGCAGCAGCATACGATGATACAAATTAATATGATACAGAAAACGACAGAACCGGAAACAATACCAGCAATAGCTCCGTCACTCAAACTAAAATAAAATGTATTATAATATTAAGTTTTTGAAATTGACATATTCTGAACATAATATCTAATTATGACCTCAAACTTGTAACATCACCTTAAAGTTAATGTTCATGCCTTGATTTCTGGGTATGAGAAAGTAATATGCTTCTCAAGAACAATACAAGTGAGATGGTCCAGTATAACTTACCCAGAGGAGGATCCATAGTACCCATACGAGCTGTAGCTGGTGTACCTGAACCGAAATCTGGCCCTGAATCTTGCATCACAAACTTGGAAAGATAAAAAAAAATTTGTTCTTGTCAAATTAAAATCATGTAACTTAAACTCTTAAGCATACTGCTGTAAAATCGTATCATATTTGGATACTCTTAGTAAAATATGTTGACTTTTGTTTTGAATGTTGCTTTTTCAAGGGGATAATAATTTGTTCTCAAGTATATACCATAAAAGGGAAAGATAAGTGACACGTCAGTATTTGATGTACAACACAAAACCAGCTAATACTTTCTGTGCGATACGTGTACTACTCCTGACTGTTTACAACTTCTGTAAAATCATTAAACCGAAAAAAAAACTTCCTGTTTAAAATCGGGATTTTTTACGCATTTAATATACGCTTTAGTGTGCAGGAGTCACCTCCTCAAAGCATATCTATGCCATTCGTAAGAAACAATATATAATGCTCTAGCTGATCATAAATCTATTAAAAGTTCCACTTCATTTGGTTCCACTTCATTACTGTATACTGGAGATAAATCAAGATTAGATTGATACACTAGAAATATTGAATATATTTGATCCTTGATTTTTTTAAAAAAATCTTTTGTTTTCTTTGCATTGTATAAAAATAAAATGAGTAAAACAAACGGGTTCCACTGTTGCTGAAACAAACAACTAACAAACAAAACGAAAACAAACTAGAAACAGTTTCAAGTCTGTTTTGTTTGTTCAATGTTAATTAAAAAAAACTTACATCAATGATTTTAAGAAATGTTACCCACTGTCGGAGCTTCAGTGTATCAAAATCGTTCAAAAATCGTCATACTAATGATTTAGGAGAGAATATTATGTGAAATACAGTATTTTTATTTATATTCATTACAAATATTTTTATCCACGAATCTCGAGATTGGGTTACAAACTTTCGTCGTATTCGGTACTAAAAAAAAGAAAATTAAGAAATTAGGTTTTGTACTTAATTTTAAACGGCATTTAAATTTGATAAATGACATGATTCTATGTGTTCAAGGGTCACTTTAGTTTAATTGGGATGCTAAGGTAAGCCGCATAAATATCAAAACATTCCACAAACAGAATCAATTAATGCACCAGTATTTACTTAAAAAAAATCGAACATATCAATAGTATTATAAACATGAACTTGAAGGACAATTTTTATAGTTTCTCTAAGTTGCAGATACTCTTGTTGGCAGGAAATATTTTCTAATTATCCATGAAAAATTATCATTCAGACAGATTTATTCTTTTTTTTAAAATTCTACTTCTGTAAATTACACTATAACAAGTTGTATTAATTATTTTGTTCGCTGGAGATAATGCAAAGGGAGGGAGAATCAATGATGTGTCGCTTTCATTGGAATTCTCATAATTCCTATTTTACGGACATTATTTATGTACATTTTTTTTAAAATTTTTATTTATTTTTCTTTTATTTATTTTTTATTTTTATTTATTTTTCGTGTGTGCGCGTGTGTTAATTATGAAAATCGTCATACGACATACCTTCAACAAGAAATACACAAATCCAACAAATTAACATATACATGTATGATGAATTATTTAAAGCCATCTTCTTTTTAATTCGGGCCTGGATTTAAAATTCAGATTCAGAGAGTTTCCAAGTGTCACACTCATTACTTCTAAAATCGGAATGGTCTTTATATATATATACCTGTACCTTTATACTGAGGCAAACCCGGATGGAAAATTCCTAAGAGTACAGGTTGGGCATTTCGCAATCATGTTGTTTTTATCGTAATTTAAGATTAAATAACATCGAGGCTGTTGAGAAAAAATAATTGAAATATTCTTGAATGCTTTAGCAATACCATATTTTTGTTTTAGAGTATCATTTCCAAATTAACAACGTTATTGTAAAATATATATTCAATTATCGCAAAATATTCTATATATATCAGAATCAACATTTTATTAATTCACTATTCTATCTTAAGTGAAAAGTTCAAAACCCATAACTTCTGCTCATGAATTCTGGAATATTTATAATATGAAATAACCAATATCATCGAAGATATCTTCAAATAATATAAAATTTTGAAACATGGAAAAATTTACTGGACTAAAACATTAAAAAAAAAAAAAACAAAATAAAAAAAAAAGAAAAAAAAAAAGAACGGAAGACGGTACATGTATTTACAGCCTATAAAATTTAATTTTCTTAATAATTTATTCTTGTTGAATGCTGATGGCCTATTGTTTATTTGTTAAGTAAAATGATCGTTTTTTATGAGTCGGAAGATATTTAACTTTAGAATCTCCAAGTCCATGGGATTTTAATACTCATTGTTCCTTTTCAATTTTTATAGGTGTGTAAAACTATTTTACTGATAACGATAATTTTTTTGCATTTGCGGAATAGCGCTTGAAACTTTTAAACTTTAATAAATCAGTGTCAATATCTTTTGTCAGTGCGTTTGGGTGCGGACAGTTTACAATGGATAAATCAAAGTAGACAGGAGTGGGGAAGATGTACGTAGAATGTGCGGTGGAGGACCGGGAAGACAGAGCAGAAGAAACGCAAGGAAGAGGAGGTGAATAAAAAATTACTTTTTAAAAATTTACGTTTGCTATGCGTTCCTTCTAATTATAAGCAAAATGCCTTTTTGGTGTATAGTCACGCTTAAAAATATACACAGAGAAACGCGTTTTATTGTACTGTCACAATGAGTGACGGAAATGTATTTTTAAAAATTATAAATACATAGGGTGGCAAAAATTTAACATTGAGTATATATATATATATATATATATATATATATATATATATATATATATATATATATATATATATATATATATATATATATATATATGTATATATGTGTGTGTGTGTGTGAGGGTGTGTGTGTGTGTGTGTGTGAGGGTGTGTGTGTTAGGGGAAATGGTAATTACTTTTATTTTATTTCAAATAAACAAATAATTAATTTTAAAAATATACAAAAAATATATAATTGAATCTGGTCAATAAATTAACACCAGGTCACACAATTTGTCGCTTAGAAAAAATGAACAAAGAAACAGATGATCACTTACTCATTGTTGCTTTTTACTAAAAAGTATAGAAAAATATAAATTTGATAAAGTATACAAATTATTTGAATTTAAAAATAATAAATTCAAATGAAAATACAACCTTTTACAACTGATTTCCATACATATCAATTTAGGACAGACGGAGCATGTATTTCACAATCGCACATGTATGCATGGCACAATTTATGTTTAACACACAATATGCATTTGAAATGAGTTTCAAGTGAAAATTGATAAGGCTTTCGAAGTAGTTTAGTACATGTCATTTTTTTTTAAGTTCGATATTGTAATGTTTCCTTGTGTTTGGTAGGGAGATAAAGTTTTTGTTTTTGTTTGTTTGTTGTGTTTTTTTTTTCTTGCCGTTTGTAGGTCTGTATGAAGATGGAACTTTGTCATACTGTTGTCCAGAGAATGTATCATAATTTTTACTTCTGGTTTGGGTCTTCTATTCCATACTGAAATGCAATATTATAAAGTGTGCCGTGTGGATAAAGCTTTGAAGGGAAGTTTACTTCAGGAAAAGCCATTTTTGCGAGGGCTTTGAAGAGTAGGCAACTCCAGCCATATAATTAGCTGTAAAATTGAAAAGCATGTATCAAAACAGTTTAATCTACAATGCTAAAAACTTGCATCATGGTTATTATATATGAATAGTCACTGGATAAATTCAGGGTCTTTTTTGTTTATTCTGTTTTAAACTTATTCAGGCAATATTCGTTTCGAGGACACTGTTTTAGTTGACATTTTTCCAACCGTTATTAGAACTCATTTTAGATTCCTCGTTTTCTGAAAGTTACTAGTATCTTTAGTATATGTTCACAGCCATCATTGATGAAACGAGAATTCGAATTTTTATAAATAATATTAATCAGATACAACAGGAATGGAAAAAAGCTCAACCTTTTTTACAGTGCTTATTTTCTAATAAAGTTAACATGTTAACTAATTTAAGTTTTTAATCAGGTCTGTTTGAACCTTCTAATTTGACACTCAAGATTAGATGCAGATTATCTTTTTTTAAACTTTCATATCTTCATATTAATTTGCAAGTTGTAGAATACATGTCTTATTAAAGACTAACGTCTATCAAGAAACTTTCAATTTTTCGTATCTTTAACCCCTACCTTACGCAGATGTCAGGTAAAAGAAAAAACCTAATCTAAATTTAGCATGAAATTATAAATTCTGTTATAAATATCATGTACAATTATGCAAAAGAAATGGAACCTAATTAAATCACAACAAATAATTATTTGAGGTTACTTATACACACTTACATGTGACGATCTTTTGCTTGTTTGCGGTGGTATAATGCAGAACAACACATTTGTTTGCTTCAATTTACTTCGACTGCAGAAGTATATGATCATATGAATTAAGATGAGTCAAAAAACGACAGAACTGAAAACAATGCCAGCAATCGCTCCTGCACTAAAACTAAAAAATTGTAATACTATAATATTAGATTTTTTTGCATAGACGTATTCTGGTTTTTTTTTATCTAATTATCACTCCGAACTTGTAGAATTACCTTAAAATCAATGTTCAAGCGGGTTATGTAATTTTTTTCTGTAAAATAGCTGCGACATTAATTCCCGTACTAACAACCAAAGAAAGACATTTTTTATTGTTTATATTTATATCTGTATAAATAATTATTTAAAGTAGGATTAAAAAGATTAGTTATTGTATCATTGATATGTCCATGTACGCCATTGTATGTTTCATTGAAGGAAGAGTTACTGATCAAGAAATCTGTACAGGTGATATGCCTAGTGTTGTTTACAAACTGATAAGTCGCCCGCGTTGCGCAGTGGTTAGAGCGTTTGCTCTAGAGTCGTAGAGTCTTACGTCTCGGGTTAGAATCCCACTGGGGGACGTGGTGACCGTTTCTTCGGATGAGACCGTATAAACCGAGGTCCCAGTAGGTGCAGTAGGTGCTGGCACGAAAAAGATCCCTCACTGCTCAATGGCCCTAAGTGCCGAGTATAGTTCAAAATTTGTAGCTCTCTACCGGCAAGTGGTGGCGTCTCCATATGAGTGAAAAATTCTCGAGAGGAATGTTAAACAACAACAAACAAACGAACTAATAATGGTTTTCTTTAAATATTCAGTGGATGTAAATATTTGGATACTAAGATATGCCGTTAAAATATCAAAACAATCCACATGCAGATATTTACTTAGAAAAAAAATGAACACATCTATAAACGTACTTGAATGACAAATTCTTTAGCTGTTCTCCGTGCAGATACTCATTTTGGAACGAATTATTTTTTGTTAACCATGAAAAATTATTCTACAGACTTATTTGTAATATTTTTATTTCTATTTCTGTAAATTCCTTGTATATCAAATTAAAGATGCATTAATGCTTTTGTCCGCTTGAGAAAATGCAGAGGGAAGGAGAATCAATAGAATTTAACGATTACAGCTTTGACTAGAAAACTAATAATTCTTAAATTGCAGACATATATATATTATATGAAAATCTTCATACGACATACCTTCAGCAAGAAATAGGTAAATCCAACAAATTAAAATAATTCAGATGTTTATTATGAATTGTTTAAAGTCATTTTCTTTTAAATTGGGCTGGATTTAAAACTCAGATTCAATTTTAGTATTCACGTGACAAACTTAATACTTTGAATTTCTAAGTAACCTCTATACTAAGACAAACCCGGAAGGAAAGTTTCCAAATTCGAGAGACGGCAGGGTATTTCGCAATCATGTTGATTACATTTTATGAGTAACTGACAAAATATCTGAACTATATGAAAATAGATTGAAAAAATATCTGAACTATTTCTGTCTGTTCTTTGTCATATCTCTTCATCTTAAATTCACAGACATAAAGTCGTTGTAGTCAAATATATAATTATTTACGGAATAATATTCTTACTAGTTTAATTTTCAAGTTTTATTAATTCATTTAATAAATAATATTTATATTATAATATTATAATATAATATATTATAATAATATTATTATAATAATATTTATTAAATCAAGCCACACAACTACTGCTCATTATTTCAGGAATTCTTTTGATATGAAAATAACCTATATCAGTTCAGATTTAAAGACGTTATGAACAAATATATATATGATAATTAAGTAGTATGTAAAAATGTTCTTACTAGTTTAATTTTCAAGTTTTTGTAATTCCCTATACCTTTCTAAAGTGAGAAAGTCAAACCACACAACTATTGTTTATCATATATGGAATTCTTTTGATAAGAAAATGAACATAAATCAGTGCAGGTATCTGCAAATATTTTTAAACCAATAAAAAAACTTCATATGACCAAAGCTCATATATATTGAGCTTGATTACTGGTCGTTATCTTCTACTTTATACAAACATTATGTTAGTTGTAGATACCCATACTGGCAAGGGAAATTTTTTGTTTTCCGTAAAAAAAAGAAGAAGAAAAAATTACATGATTAAAATTATTCTCAAAACAAAATCTTGATACAGTATATAAAAAATAATTTAAAAAATATTATTCGAGTAAT